TGAATTTTTTTAAAAAAATTGAGTGAAATTAATTTTTTATTTGATTATTATTTTTTAAAAAAATTAAGTCAAATTATCTAAAACACACTTTTAGCTCTCTCTCCCTCATCGAATTTTCATATGCAATTACGCTATTCTCATTTAAAAATAATAAAAATAATCAATCATATAAATTATAATAATATATTTTAAAAAATAAAATAATCAAATTCTAACATTTTATTTCAAAATCCATATATAAAAAATCAAATTTATTAACAAATAAAATTATATAAAATTAAAAAATTAATTAGATGATAATTTTAATAAGAAACAAACAATTGAAAAAATAAGTTTTAAACAATAAAAATAATATACTCGGATATATATGTTTAAACTAAAATTTTTAAAATTATTATATATATTTTATTACCGTCAAATTGTACGTAAAACTAAAAAAAATAACAATTTTTTTTTTATGTTTTCACATTTAATTTCATGATAAAAAAATAAAAAAATAAATTATTAAAAAAAAAGAAAAGGCAAATGCTGGTTGGGACTTGTTTTGAATGAACAAGATTCAAGAGTCAACTAAAAATTTGAATTCTGATTTATCTATCTATTTGTTTATTTTTGGGAATTAGTCACAGTTATTATATCCAAGACAAAACAAAAAATTGTCTGGGATGTTTCATTAGTAAAAAAAAAAAAAAAAGAAAGGTCTGCGGCTTTTGAATTAGTTAGAACCGTTATAGCCTATTGAATGATTCGAAGTGAGAATTAAGTAGGCAACATGGCCTGTATTTTGTGTCTTGTACTTAACTGGACTTCCAAAAAATGTTTTAAGGTAACAAAAAACAAAAAAAGAAAAGGCTTGGGGATTCGGGGGATCGAACGCCGTGCCTCTTGCATGCAAAGCGAGAGCTCAACCATTTGAGCAGCCGTTAAAAAACTTTATTTTGTGTTTTGTATTTAACTGCGCTTCCAAAAAATGTTTTAACCTAATAAAAAACAAAAATAGAAAAGGGTTGGAGACGAGGGGGATCAAACCCCGTGCCTCTCGCATGCAAAGCGAGAGCTCAATCATTTGAGCAGCCGTTTTTTTTTTAAAAAAAAAACCTACAGTAAATGAATAGGAAAAATCTCAGATCTTTTAAATTTTTTAGTAATAATAGACGTAATTAAACTCAGAAGAATGTCTTGAAGACTTATAAAATTATATAAGGACAAATAGAATTATTTGTCTGTTTTTCTATTTGAGTGGTAGTACAATTTTTTTAAAATCTTAAAAAAATTAATAAAACTAACTAACTATTTAATTAGATGAATTTATATATATGTTACTCATTAACTAAGATTTTTAAGCTTATATCGTTACCTAAATTTAAAATCCAACTAACAGGTAATAAAAATGGAAACTAACATAGCTAATTAATTGATTAGTTTTATTGGGGTTTTTTATGTTGTTTTTATTTTTTATTTCTCAATGGGAAAGCAAAAATTTTTAAAAATAACAAAATCATGGTTGTTTCGCACACAAGGGCGTACTTGTATTTAATTGAAATGCCATTTGAATTGTAATAGAAACTTCCAAAAAATTTAATTGCTCAAATTTTATAAGTACATGGATTCAAATAGGAAATCACAAAATACAAATATTTCATTAAAATAAATAAAAATGTTAAAATAATATCAATCTGGGCCTACTCGAGGTAGAGTTAACTGAAAATTTAGCATTACGATTACAAAACTAACTGTTGTGCTTGATTGATCAAAATTCTTATATACAAATATTTAAACAAAAAAAAATCAATACAAGTATTCAAATATATGAAAGAGTGCGAGTAGTTTAAATTCCACTACCCCTTATGTGAACCAAGCAATCCATGCAATAGAAAAATGGTTTAAATGCATATGACTTCTCTCTGTCCTTTTGATTTTTTTAATGTTATTTTTGTATTTTTTTTAATTCATCATCTCTTTTTATTTTTAAATTTTTCTTAATATGATTCATTTATCTGTTTTTCGATTAATTTTTTAATCAAAATTGGTAGCTGGTATAAATTTTTTCACCTCGCATGACATGTTTGATTAAATTGTCATTCGAGAAAATAATAAAAAAAATAAAAAACCAAAATAATTGTGAAAATTACAAAACTATCCATTTTCAAAGCACTTCACCTTGATCAGTTCTCTCTTATCCAGCTAATATATTTTTAGTCTCCGCCGCCATCTTTTGGTCACACATTCTCTTTATCATCTCTTTATTTGCTTCTTTGAGTTTCAAAAGTTTAGTCATCGTTATTTGTTTAACTCAAATTTGTCTATTTTAACTTCAAAATTTTAGTTTAATTCCCCATTTACCATTTTGGCATAAATACCCAAAAAAAAAAGTAATTTGAAAAGTTGATTTGGGGTCCAATTGAAAAGGAGATGAAATATGAGGAGCAAATAGTATTCAATTAGAGGTATAATTGGAAGAGAATAAAAATCAAAAGCCTTAATTGAGAATGAATTAGAATGGAATTAAAAGAAATTAAAAGAAAATTAACTAAATAAATTAAAAAAAAGGCCTAATTGAAGAAAAATTAAAACACTGATGGACAAAATTTGAAGAAAGAACGGACGACAGGGATGAACTTAAACATTCATCTCGAACGATGCGTCGTTCGTCGTGTGTTCTTCCTTCAAAATTTGCCGCGCCAGCTTGGTTCTTCATCTCTAAAAGAAAGTGAAACCTGCAGAATGGAAAACAAAAAAGACAAATAACAGGGGCTGGCGTTTTGTCCCTTACCTTGACTCGTCCCCCACTTCACGCCGAGACCTAGACCTGCCCATGATTCCCGTTGCTGTCAATTGTAGCCATGGAAGCAGTTGACAGCAACCATGTAAAGAAAAAAAAACAAGAAAAAAGAGGAGCGGGTTTGGGCACAGAAAAAAGACGGCCAGGATGAGAGGGAGAGGGTCCAAGGGTTCAAAGTGAAAGGGAAAAGTTGCAATATAAACGGGTCTTTGACAGTGAGGGTAGAAAAGGAGAAATTTTATAATATATAAATATAGTAATTACTTCATTAATCTATCTAGAAAGAAGAAATAGATACATAAAAAAATAAAAAAACTAAGAAAGAGAAAAAAAATTAAGTGAAAGTTAAAATTTTTTTATCACTTTTCGTGATTTCGAATATAATTTTATCTGTTTATCTTTTTTTTAAATGAATTTATAAAATAATAATTTTACATATCACTAAATACTCTTTATCTGTTATAAGATTTCTCGTAGAACAGAGCGCTAAAAAAGGAATAAACTGCAAGCCTTGATTGCTCATTCTTATTTGTAACGAGAGAAATAGACAGAAGATTTTTTTTTTTGCAGGGGGGGGGGGGGGTTGCTGTACAGAAAAATAAATAAATAGAGGACGTGGTTTCTTTTCTTTCTTTTAGGGACAGAAATTTTGGGGAGATAGTGTCTTCCTTCGGGTTTTCTGTTTGGATGTGAAAAAGATAAAGAAAAAGAGAGCTGGGACGAAACAAGAAAAACACAGAACGTTTGAGGAGGAAAGAGCTTAAGAAGGAAAAGAAAATGACATTGCTTCATACTCCTAGGTTTTGAGGAAGGAAACGGTAACAACTTCCCTAGGCTAACAAACTGTGTTTCACAAGGGTTACTGCCATGAAATCTGACAAGGTAAGGGGTGAAAGTCTATGCAATGTTTAAGATGGCATGCCCAAGATATTCTAGCCAATCCGTTCTGATAATAAAAGGCTAAACCCATGGGTTGAATGTAGGAAGGTTGCATGACCTTTCATTTCTCTTAATTGATGGCATGATAAGAGTTGTTTTATCATGAGCTTTGGTTTTATTTGGGTCAAGAATAAACCTCGTTTGGGATATTTAGCTCAAATCGGCATGTTTTTGGATTTTATCTATTTGACAAGGCTGTCCTATTTATTTTAATTTGAAATTTTTAAAGTTAGTTCATGTATACATCGATAGAATGTATTCTAGATTTTATAATTTTAAGAGTCTATTTACCATTTATTTGCTATTTAGTTGTCTTGAAATTTAATTTTTAAATCCAATACCTTTGATTCTTTTCATTAGAAATTTTTAAAATTTGTACATATATTTTGTCCTCGTCTTGTGTTTTAATTTTCATGATTTGTTTTGAACTTTAATTTTTAGGTCTAGTTTCTTTAATTATCTTAGTCTAAAATTTTTTGAATTTGTAGCTATACTTTTTCTCGATCCGTATTTTAATTTTCATAATTTTTGAAATTCATTTGCTATTTATTTGTGATTTATTTTCAATTTTGTTATTACTATAATCATTAATGTGATATGTTTGTTGTTTATTTAGCAAGATGAGAGATCATCAAGTCTCCTAAATTCTAGGGACCGATGACGATCTCTCGTCAAATTCATCTTGTTAATAAAAGAAAACACGCTTTCTTATGATAATTAGAAAAATTTAAATTGACTTAATGAGTCTTCTATTTGAATAGAAACTTGATATAGGTCTCGAACCACAATAAAAAAAAGAAAGAAATAAAAAGAAGAGGATTAGTTAGGATAGATATAAAATCAGTTTAAATACATTTAGTTAATTAGATAGTTCTTTCACATGTCAATCATGTTAGAACGTAATTATATTTGATACAAAATTAATGCGATTTTCAACCATGAGGTTCGACATCAATTTAATATGATGTCACAAATAAAAACATAATTAAAAAATTAATTTGACGTAGATGATGATTAAGTTTGGAAATAGATTTAGGAAATAATTTGACAAGTATAATTTTTATGAGATATTTTTCGGATTAAAACAAACATGTACCTTTCTTCGAAAAAAATGTTTTTAGGTGATTGTTATATTTCAAAAAATATAACCAATTCTTTACTCAAGAATTTTTGAATCCTTTTTTTAGTTTTGTAGTTATTTTTAAACTTGATGACAATTCCAAAACTTTTTTCTAAATTTTTTTTATAAGATTTTTAAAAATCTTCTAAACGATGGACAATGATAATGCTAGCAAGGTATATTGTTGGGTTGGTTGATTTGCAGATGATGAGTGAAGAGTTTGGAGCTTTAAAGCAGTATGAGGCTAGCGCGACCACTCGAAATGAAAGTGAATACGAAGCTTTGTTTGTCCGAGGGGAAAACAACTTGCATAGGAAAATCAATTAATGAATAAGTTATTTTTCTGAAAATTATTTTTCAAAAAAAATATTTTCTCGTCGTTTGGCAATTGGATGAAAAAATTACTAGAAAATATATTTCAATGTTTGTTTGATACATACAATTAAAATACAAAAACAAGTATGTGATTGTTATATCAATAAGTTTTAAGAAAACTTTAAAAAGGCATATTTATAATTTTACAATATAAGATACACTTAGAAAATTTTAATAAATTTTCACGAGATACCGACTCTAAAATTTTAATTCAAAAAATAAAATGTACTTTTTGAAATATTAAACCAATTCATCAAAATTATTTGAAAAAAATAAAGTCAATATTTGCATTTAGTAAAAAAAATAAAATTATAAGTAATCCTAGCATTGTTATTTTGGTAACTCGATTAAGAATGCTTTTTTTTTTAAAAAAAAAATTGAACTGATAATTTAGTTTAAAAAATAGTTTTATAAATTATTAGTTATCATTTATAGATAATTATTCATTTGGTTTAAAAGGATTAATGTTTCAATAATTTGTAACTAATTATTCACTCGCAATTAGCCATAAAATTTTACAACCGATTAAAATTACAAATTATTGATTTAGTTGCAAATAAATGGTGTTGAAAAAATAATATATTTATTAATGATTTATTTTTTTTACAAAAAATTACAGTATTGTAATAATCATTTCCAATCATTTAAGTATAGTTTAGATGATATTTGAGATAATAGTAAAAAAAATAGAGATAAATTATTTAAATATTTATTATAAAAATAGTTTTAAGATGTAAAAATGATTTTTAAGAATATTTAATATATCTATAAATAAAAAAATTAAATATTAGTAGAAATAGAGAAAAAAATAAATAATCAATAATAATTGATAAGGAATAATTAAAAATTAATTTAATATATTTTAAATAAAAAGAAGATAGAGAAAAAAGTTATTAAAATATATCAAGAGGGAGGTATGAAACGCGAGAGTCGGACAACTCGTGAGAAGTAAAATGTTTTTTTTAACAGGGAAAACATTTTCTAAAAAATATTCTATCACTTTTTGTTGACCGAAAATCATTTTTTGTTGATTTTTTTTTTCAAACACAAAATAAATATTGAAAAATGAGGAAAACAACTTCCTAATTTTTTTTTTTTTTTCAAATAAACACAGCCTGACTGAATTGCAAGATAGGCTGTGGGAGTTGAGGACAATGGCTGTAGGTTTAAAGGGTGAAAACGTAAGTAACTGTATTTGATGGGTCACGAGAGAGGAAAGAAACTTGTAAGGAGGCAGCTGGGGTTTGAAGCTCAATTGGAATGCAATTGTGGTGTGTTTTGAAATTATGACTGCTGCTGCACTGACTGCATTTAAAGATAAAAATTCAAAATTTGAGAAACGATTGAAAGAGTTTCATAATTTTTACAATTTCATTGGTTTTTAATTTTTTTAATTTGACAATTTAATATGATGTGTTGTGTCATAGTGAATTTTTATGTTATCTGTTAATTTTAATTGAAAAATTAGTTTAATAAAAAAATATTCGAATGAATCATATTAAGAAAAATTTAAAAATAAAAGAATTTGATAGATAAAAAAATAAGGGATTGTATTAAGAAAATTAAAAAAATAGAAAGACGTCATATCATCTAACCAAAGAAAAATACGAGAAAATTAAAAAATAGCTTTTGAAAAATGAAATCGAGATTAACAGTATTGTATCTTCGTGGCTAAAAAGGCATGGTCATTTATTCCTCTTTTAACCGTAGACCCAAAACAGATGTGGCAATCGGCAACCCCTTTTGAATAAAATAAAATTGCAAAATAATACTACTAAAATAAGTACAATTTAAAAACAGACGACAGAGCTTTCTAGAAACCATCGAAGCGCTCCTTTGTGATTACACGTAGCTCGATACCTTCAAGAATTCATTCTCAGTGGAGCTTTTTTCTTGCATTTAAAACAACATTATCCAACTCAAACTAACAGAGCGTGCACCGTAAAGAAACAACAGGCAAATCAACGCTGCTATATGCAATCACTTTCACCAATATCGCTAGCTTGTTTTATTTATTTACATCACAGGCCGTGAGCATAGTATAATTAAGCAGCGAATGAGATTAAAAATCATGCTGACGGTGCATGTACGTCCACGTCATCCAGAAGAGGCCAAAAACGCGTAAAGCGTGATAATCCTGAATCTCGATACGGTCACCTTTGGGTGAGGGCAGTTTCTATTAGATTTTCAACACGTGGCCATCTAAAAATCAATTACAGTTAGATATGAAGAATCCAGTGGCCCCCACCTTCCACCCACACAGAAAATTTTCATTTCATTTCATTTGCATTTGCATTTCATTTTCCTTAGAGGGAAACATCAAAGATAAACAAAAAAAAAAAGAAAAAAGAGTAGAAGTAAAAACAAACAGGAGGAGCCATAGAACAAGTGGAGGCTGGCTTCGGAGACTCAGACTTTTTGACTTTTGAAAAAAAGCCTCATTAAAAGAGAAGCCAAAAAGTCTCTCCATTCTTTCTTGAGCTTGTTTGGCTTTGTGAAGTGAATAAAAGCAGAGGGAGGTTAATAGTCTTGGAAAAAAAAAAAAGACCTAGAACAAAGCAGTTCAGGGTAGGGTTTAGTTCTTACGCTCAAGCTCTCTCTTTTTTACATTTGAATTAAGGTATGTTTATTTTGTTATGACTTGATGATGGGTTCTATTTGTCTTGGTGGTTTTTTGATAATACTAATGTTTCTAGGTTTTGTTAGAAAAAGCAGGTAAAGGGTGGGATTTGAGTTGTGAGGGTGTTTAGGTTGTTCTTTATGCAAAATTATGTTGGAAATAAATTTTGAATTGTTAGTTATTTTTTATTATTATATACTACGTTGCAGGTTGTGCTAGATAGTGCTGTTGTTTTTGTTACGATTTTAACTAATTTCTGTTTTTTTTTGTTCCTTTTTTCATTTCTTGATATTTCTCTTTTGTGATTGGTTACTGTTTTTTGGTTGATGGCACAAAATTTTTAGAAATGTTTTGTTTTAGTCCTCATCGAATTTTTCCGTCAGTTGTTGTCTCTCTCTCTTTCTCTTCGTGTGTAATGAAAAACAAACTAAATGACCCGTGCTTGTAAATGTTTTTGAAGACGTTATTTGCTTACAATTTTGTAGAGAAGAGAGACTTTGTGGAGGCTCTAAAGAGACAGGCTTTTCGATGTGCAGTGGTTCAAAGAGGAAACCAACACATACTGGTTTCAACATGGAGAATGAATTTCAAAAGCAAGACGGGGTTTGTTATGATTTCTCTCTTTTGCTTGAACTGTCTGCCTCAAATGATCTGATCGGGTTTAAGAGAGCAATTGAAGAGGAGGGTCATGATGTTGATGAGCCAGGCTTGTGGTATGGAAGGAGAATTGGCTCGAAAAAGATGGGGTTTGAGGAGAGAACACCTCTCATGATTGCAGCCTTGTTCGGAAGCAAAGATGTGTTGAACTATATCTTGGAAACGGGTCATGTAGATGTCAACAGGGGTTACGGTTCTGATGGGGCCACAGCGCTTCACTGTGCTGCTGCAGGTGGCTCTTCTTCTGCACCTGAGGTTGCCAGGCTCTTGCTTGATGCCTCCGCGGATCCTAATTCTGTTGATGCCAATGGAAGTCGCCCTGGTGACTTGATTGCTCCAGTTGTCAAGTACGGTTCTAATTCAAGGAGAAAAACCCTGGAGATCATATTTAAGGGTGGTAATAATGGTGAAGAATCATGTGTTTTGGCTGATCAAATTGTTAATGAGATGGATGGGCTAGAACACCAAGAATTTTCAACGCCAAGGGTATCAAAAGATGGGTCCGAGAAGAAAGAGTATCCTATTGATCTGACACTTCCAGATATTAAGAATGGGATATATGGGACTGATGACTTTAGAATGTATACATTTAAGGTCAAGCCTTGCTCGAGGGCTTACTCTCATGATTGGACAGAGTGCCCATTTGTGCACCCTGGGGAAAACGCTAGGCGCCGCGATCCCAGGAAATACCACTATAGTTGTGTTCCGTGTCCTGAGTTTCGGAAGGGATCTTGCAGGCAGGGTGATGCCTGTGAATATGCACATGGTATTTTTGAGTGCTGGCTTCATCCTGCCCAGTATAGAACTCGTCTCTGTAAAGATGAGACAGGTTGCACAAGGAGGGTGTGCTTCTTTGCTCACAAGCCTGAAGAGCTTCGTCCCTTGTATGCCTCTACAGGTTCAGCAGTGCCTTCTCCTAGATCCTACTCAGCCAATGGTTTGACTTTGGACATGAATTCTATTAGCCCACTTTCCCTTGGTTCTTCATCTGTCTTGATGCCATCTGCTTCAACCCCACCTATGACTCCCTCTGGGTCCTCTTCACCTATGGGTGGATGGACAAACCAGTCTAATTTGGTGCCCCCTACGTTGCAGCTTCCTGGTAGCAGGTTGAAATCTGCCACGTGTGCACGAGATATGGATTTAGACATGGAACACCTTCGAAGGCAACAGTTGATGGATGAGATTTCTGGTCTTTCCTCTCCTTCCAGCTGGAACAATGGTCTGTCCACTGGCTCAGCTTTTACTGCTTCTGGTGATCGAACTGGGGAGATACATAGGCTTGGAGGAGTGAGGCCTACTAACCTTGAAGATATTTTTGGATCCCTCGATCCTTCAATTTTGCCTCAGTTGCAGGGGCTCTCACTGGATGCTGCAGCAACCCAAATGCAGTCTCCAACAGGGATGCAGATGCGCCAGAGCATCAACCAGCAGCTTCGGTCCAGCTATCCCACCAGCTTCTCACCATCTCCTGTGAGAACATCGCCATCTTTTGGAATGGATCATTCTGGAGGGGCTGCAGCGGCAGTTTTGAGTTCAAGGTCTGCTGCCTTTGCAAAACGTAGCCAGAGCTTCGTGGAACGAAGTGCTGTGAACCGTCATAATGGGCTTTCTTCACCATCTTCAGCTAACGTAATGCCTCCTAACCTTTCAGACTGGGGTTCTCCTGATGGCAAATTGGATTGGGGTATTCAGGGAGAAGAACTTAATAAGCTCCGAAAGTCCGCTTCTTTTGGGTTTCGAAGCAATGGAAGCAGTGTTGCTAGAGCTGCTGCCTCAGTGCCAGCAACTGTTGATGAGCCGGATGTGTCATGGGTACAGTCCCTAGTGAAGGATACCCCTCCTGTGAAATCTGTGCCAGCAGGTTTTGAGGAGCAGGAGCAGCAGCAGAAGCAGCAATGTCATCTTAACATTGGAGGTTCAGAGATGCTCCCAGCTTGGGTGGAGCAGCTGTATATTGAGCAGGAGCCATTGGTGGCTTAGAAGCAAAATTCGCCCCGATTTGGCCCGTTATTCAACATTTAACTATTTATTTCTTTTGCCATTTTTTGAATTGTTATTAGTTTTGATGAGATCTAGGAGTAAGAAACTGGAGAAAGGACAAAAGAAAAGAAAAATAGAAATAGAAATTAGACCCTGAGGAAGAAAACAAAGAAATTTGGGCAGAGGACGAAAGGTCTCTGCTCAGAAATCAGACCCCGAGGAAGAAAACAAAGAAATTTGGGCAGGACGAAAGGTTTCTGCTCATGGAGTTCTTAGTTTCGAAGAACAATAGATTCTTTTTCACCAGCTGATAGAAGTTGGAAGCATAATGTTGTGCTGATGAGAGTAGTGGCTGTCGCCCCTGGATTTCATTTTACCTCTGGGCTGATTTCATTTTAGCTTGTGGGTTGTTGTATACATCATATGTACCAAAAACTGTTACGGTAATTACTTAATAAAACATGTATCAGAGTTCGATGGATACTTTTTCTTTCTGCTTATTATGTGTGCGTGCCTATCGTCTCGTTTCTGTTCTAATATGTTAACGAGATTTTCTATCCTCGACCAACCATGAAATAACCTCTGTATTTAACAGGAAGCATCATTCTCAACGTCGTGTTGGAGCCTACACATGTGGCCTAGTTATGGCAGGAAAAGAAAAGTAGATGCTGGTAACCAGCACTCTATATCAAACTTGTAAGAAGGAACGAAAACAGATGTTTATATCCAGGGCTATGTATCAAACTGATGGTGCTAGCTCCCAAAATGATGCCATTTCTTTCTTCATTCTTTCATCTTTTGTCAATGTAGTCCACCTATCGCCCTTTTTTGAATGAAACGTTTTTACTTTCGGCATGGAAAAGGAGAGAGTCATTGATTCCATAATTCTCTAGTTGGGGAGATTGTTGAGCACTAATGAAAAGGCAGTCTAGTTAGCATTACTTGCTCTGTAGCTTTAAATAAATCAACTTTATCAAGTGGTGGTGCACTAGAAGAAGAAAAAAGAAGAGAGCATGCTTTGGTGCTCCAAGCCTACCTCTCCATTTCATTTCCTGCTCATGCAAGAGCCAAAACATTAACAAAAAAGGAAAAAAAGAAGAAAAAAGCACATTGAAACCTACACATCTGTAGTGGCTTTCTCTAAACTGCGTAGTGGAGAGAATAATTTATTTGCTTGATGTTGCTTGCTTAATTATTATTATTATTATTTTTTGTTTTGTTTGAGAAACAAAACATTCTTCCTTGTTTGGTGCTGAGTAAAGTACAGACTTAACGATACATTAAAAAAAAAAAAAAATTGCTTCGAATGGACCTAGTCAAGTAGAATTATATATGTTTTGATAAGCAAGTGGATTTAGTATTGATTGCAATTAAAATATTGCTCAATAATAAACTAATTAATAAAGCAGGTGAAGACATAGATAAGCTTCGGGTGACAACGTACATGAAAAGTCTTAAAACACATCATTAGTTTGTAATCCAAGTCATCATTTTTGGATTCTTTTAATAAAATAAGAAAAGAAGAGTCAAAATTTGAAACTTAATTAGGGAGTAGTAAACATCAAATTGAGGAGCAGCTGACGATGGTGCAGGGTTGGACGCTTTGACAACCTACCTGGTACCCGTGTCTTAACTTGATTTGAAGGATGTTACAACATTTGTAAAGGTTTTGAGCATCACAAGAAGCTTTGATGTGATGCAACCATACTATATTTCAGAAAAGAACATATTTGTCCCTCAACTATCATGAGACTCTTATTTGGATCCCCCATTACACGGTATCCAATTGCTGCTGCCGGTGTCTAAATTTATTGTTCCTCCATAACGAAAAGCGTAATTGAAATTTTCCACCAAATCAACACTTGAATGTTTTATGGTAAAATTTCTAAAATTCAAGATATGCACTTTCATGTATAGTTTATATTAAAAATTATTATTATACGATTTTTTAATTATAAGATCTAAGTTTAAATGAAAGGAAAAAAAATTAATAGATGAAAAAAAACAGTTAAAATTCACTGTTTCAAGTTTTCTCTCTTCAATGAATAACATTATTCTAATGCACAAGAAAATAAATTATAAGATATATAATTGTCTTTTTTAAAAAATAAATTAATGTTTTATGACTATTAAAATTGCTATTAACGCCTATTGCCTAAGGAGTATTTCATATCAATAATGTAGCAATGACACTTTAAATACATGAAGACCTAATTTCATACCAATTAGAGCTAGAAATGTATATTTTATATTTTTAAAACATAAATTTGTAACAAAAACAACATTTTATGATTTTAATGTTTTCCGTAACAGGTTAATATAGGTTAAATGCGAGGGTTAATTGAGTAACGTTTGATACTCGAGGGATCTAATGAACAAAATGCTTTGGATGGAGACCTAATCTATAGAGTTTGATGATTATTGAGGGGAAATTTGTCAGATAAATGCACCATTTGGACCTTTTGTTTTTATAAATCTATCAAATAAGTTTTTGTATTTTTAATTCAATCAATTGAATATGTTTATTTCTAATTCTAATCAATTGAATACGATTATACAAAACTAAAAATTTTTATACGTTAATTCGAATAAAAAATAATATAAGCATATAAAATGAGATCCACATACGGTATTTATAAACATGCTTATTATATTTTATTCGATCTAAATTATAAAATTATCAATTTTCTAAAATCATACTCAAATTACTAAAATTAAAAATAAACATTTTTAATTGACTAAGTTAAAAATATAAAAGCTTTTTTGATAGATTTATAAAAACACGAAGCGGAAATAGGTTTAACCAAATTTGTCTGTTATCCTTAATTTATGACTATCAAATGCAGGAACCGGCTGTTTTCACTAAGGTCAAAGTGTTTTACGGTACAGCGGACAAAAAGATGAACCTTTTCATGTAATTTAAATTCTGCTGCTTGGAGATTCAAAAAGTTAAAAATTAGATTCTGAGTTTCTTGTAATAATAGAATTTACAAAAAGTATAATCTTACAAGTTGAATTTTTTCATGGCAAGAGTCAAGCAAGTTGATCTACAAGCTCCTGTAACAACTGATCCAAAATTTGCAACCCAAAATCTGCACTGATTTCTTCAAAGTCTTCTTCGATTTTACATATATTTTTGTGTGCAATATTCCAATTTGTCTCGACCACTTGAGTTTCAGTCAGCTTGCCGACTTCACCCCACATGCTCAAGTAGTCATGATTATGGCAAACTTTCTTCCTTGATCCTGGACAAGGTTCTTCAGTTTTCTTCGAATTTCGATCATCGAAGATCAAGTTACCATCACTACGTTGTGATAAGTGCTTGTGACTTTGATTGTCAAGTTGTGGGGATAATTTCCTTCTCGAATTAGACTCCCCTGACTTTGTATCTTCCTCTGTTACATACGCAAAGAAACAACATATTTAGAACAGAATATACACAATTCTTGAATGAAGAAGTAAAGGAAAATAAAACCTACTAGTAATTGTGCCTAAAGGACTTGAAATTTGAGCTGAATTGAGGAGAGAAACCTGATGTAGTAATTTCTGGATCAACGGTGAATTGATCAAAATCAAGAACAGAAACAGGGCTGGAATCTTGTGAGTTGAACTCTGCTTCCTCATTTTTAAATGCACAACCTTTTGTTTTCTGGTTTCTCTTCCTTGATTCTGCTCCAGTATCAGAGACTTCCTTGTGGTAGAACCAATTGGATCTCTTGGCATCTTCTAAGGAAAGATTTTCACAGTCCTTTAGATTCATGGGACCAGGTGAATCGTCAATTTTGCCGCCACAGACAACTTCTTGTGCAAGATTATTATCTTCTAATATTCTGTTACTCAACCCTGCCTCATTTAAAACTCTCAAAACCATCTTGCTGATTTTCTCTTCACTTTCTCTCTTATCTAATTCTACTACTTTCTCTCTTCTGTTTTCCTTCCTTTTACATTTTTCTCTTCTTATCGCCTTCAATTCTCCAGAACGCACATCCCATTTTCTTTCTTTAGATCTAACTTTTTTACTCTCACTTCCAATATTCTCAAAGCTAAGAACTAAGTACTCGTTTTCTACCTCAAGAAAAGTTGGCATCTCGCGAAACGACAATGTACTCTTAGCCCTTCTATGCTCCCCTTGCATTTGATCGCCTTCACCTCTAAATTCCACAGAATTCATCGATCGACTTCTTGGTATCGAATTAGCGCTTACTTTCATATCAACCAAACTAGTTTCTGGCAAAGGTTCCAATCCCATTAACCTAGCCACAACACCTGGAGTAGTAGCAGTGGCCTCAAGTTTCTCATTTGACTTGACGAGTTCTTGGTGTCTACTATCACAGACTGTTGAACTTGTTTCAGTGATTTGGTCAGATGGGTGTGTAGGAAGGCTGCGAGAGCAAAGAATTCGACGTAGAAGACCTGTAAGGCAACTAGCAGTAACACTTTTCGATGAAGTGCATATATTTGGATCAAAAGAGGAAGTGGAGAAAGATGAAATGGAAGGAGATGGTAACAGTTTCATCTTCCCAATAACAAAAAAAAAAAGGAGTTAAAATCAAGAAACAAGGTTTTTGAAGTAGCGCTTAGGAGTGAGAATTGGTTTGGGGTTTGTGGGATTTCAACTTTGCCAAAAGGAAAACTAGCTGTCGTGGTTAATTTAAGAAAGAAAAAGGTGGGAGTTCAAAAGAAAAAGAAAGATTTGAATGTCTTTTTCAGATAGAGAAAAAAATAATAATAAAAAGAAAAATAAAACTCACAGAAAAAAAAAAACAGAGAGAGAAGGAAAAGACAGAGAGGGACAGGAGGCGGGCTTTAGATTTGAATGGGAACAAATCGACAGTAGTGATGGAGAATTGATGCAGAGTTCAGAAATTATGTTTCCACGCGCGTTGACAAGTCAATTTCTTCCATTTGTTTTGCTTTCGGTACGGTAAGCTAAAAAGGTGCAAGGCAAGAACTTGGTCTATGTCAGCATAGGATGACAATACCACGAGTATTTCTTAGGATCTGATTGGTATAATGGCTGAGTTTTATTGCGTATTTAGTAATGCATACAAGTATCTTCGAAAAAGTATGTTTGGATCGAAAAAAACATCACATGTGCTTTTTTTTCCTTTTTTTACGGTTTCAATGTCAATTTATCGAATTTATCTAAAAAATCGTGTTTTAAAAAAACTTTGAAATACAGTCCAAACACAATTTTAGTATGATAAGTGATTGTAAAATTATTTGACAATACATGTTTTACGTTAAATATAATAAGATTTGATTCAAAAGTTTTCCTTTATAGTTTCTAAGTTTTAGCTTTCATTGCTTTTTTGAAAAGAAAAAACTCGAAAGCTTAAGAATAAAAGAAAGGAAAAAGCACTAATTAATTATCTAAACGGGCTCTTTAGTGTTCTATTGTAATAAATTTAAATTTATAAAATTAAAACTACCAAATAAAATAATAAGTCTATCAATGAATTACATAATATACATATTATATTAATAATTTTGATAGTACAATACCAGAATTTTTAAAATTCAATAGAGTAACTAATGATATTTATTTTATGTATTTACTTTTTAAAAAAAGACAAATACAAATTAAAGAAAAATAAATTATATCCAGACATATAAAAAATAATAAGAATATTTTCATATAGTTTAGTTTTTTTTTTAAAAAAAAATTCTCTCTTATTTCTATATTTTCTATTTATTTATTTTTTAGCTACTACTAAAGTAACATAAAAAATTTCAATACAATAAAGTCATTAAAATACATATTAATTGTTCAAAGAAGTTATAAGCTTAAAATAACTGTGTTAATATCAGCCAAAAAAAAAAATGTCACTCCACTTAAAAATAAAAATAGGATCAATAAGTAAAAATAAATAAATAAAAATCTAACATCCCCAATCAAACACAAATATTTATAGTATTTATAAGATGTTTTGGTTGTAGAAATTCTAGGTTTTTCGGTACCAAATGCGCTCTTTGTGTAATCTAAATCTAAAAGTGGTATGGTCAACAAAATTTTCCAATAGATTCACCCAATTTAAAAAGGAAAATAGAAGCAGATGATTTTGGGACTTTTAAATTCGAAAGACACAGCAACTAAAAACTCCAATATCACTATACAATTTTCCATATCAACTTCTTTCCTACGATGATTATAATATTCTGTACATGCAGCATGCATACGTAAGAAAGAGATGGGTTAGATTGAACCACGAGAGACATTGTCTGGTTAATGTGTCCAGGAATTCAGGGAATGCAGGCAGAGGGAATTCTTTTTGGGTTTTGCAGCCTTCATCACTCAAAACTCTGAACCACAGAAGTCGTCCAGCAGGTTGATGCAATGCTTCCCTACCGACCACCTCTGCACCTTTTCGTTCAGAATTTAAAGTAATCGATCGTGGCAATACACTCACCTCACCCATGTAGTTGGAGTTTTATAATTATCGTTTCTATTATTTATCTAGATTGTTCATTCATTGTTTACAACTTAAAAGTTTTAATTGAGACTTGATTGGTCTAAATATTTTATTTTATTGACGATTAAAAAAAATCATTGGATTTTAACAAAATAAACAAATAAAATTTAGCGAACCAATATTATTTATGACTATCAATATATATCACTATTGTAACAACGGTTTATCGATGTCTGACATGTTTGAATCTAAATGTCACTATAATGAGACCACGATGACTGTTATGTTAGGCACCACCTTGAAAATTGTATGCCAAATCCACACAAATGTATGGGGTGCTTGGCAAGGCACGTACTTTTTCTTTGTTCTTAAGGAAAAGGGAGTGACAATTATTTTTCCTTCTTTTATTATTGGCAGGCTTATTAGGTTATGTTACACGTCATGCAATTAAGATTTGATCTTAAGTTGTTGGAAACAAACTGACATAATTTCATTGACCAGATTAGTTAACAACACAATCATGCTAATTTTATTAAACAAATTAGCTTAGTCAGGCATGCTAGAGACATCCATGCATGCATCCACCACATGCGAAGCAAATTATTTCCTACTCTCATTTTTAAAAATTGAAATTTATCAACTAAATTGATTGCGATGAGAATTGATCAAATGACTAGTCGGTAGATGAATAAGAATACAAAGAGTTAATATTATGATTTATATAAAAAAAATGATCAATCAATCAAATAAAATAAATGTAAATAAAGAAAAATATAGCTGTAGGAGCATGTAGCGTCGATAATCCGTAAATCGAGTGACATATAAGTGGGTGGTTAAAGTCTCTAAATGAATGAAATTTTAAATATTATCTAATATGTAAGTGGGAGAATTCTAAGAAAGAGAGTTAAGAGGTTTTTTCACTAAAAATTAGAAAGTTCCAACTCTTTCGCAATAACATGAGGTTGATATTTATAGCAAAATAAGGATTATCCTTGATCGTTATGATCATACCACGTCATTTATGTTTGGACAATTAGCTTTGCGCTGAAGAAATTTTTTTTTTTATGCCAACTGCTTTAACTTGCTATTAAAGTATAAAAAAAAAATTAAAAATTCATGATTGTTTTTAGTGGATTTTTTTTTGAACCCATCAAGTCAATCTTATAGTGCATTTCAAAGATAAATTATAGATACTGATATTGTCAAAATATTCAAGTGTATTTCAAATGATTCAAAGATTGTATATTTGATGGAGTTCATCCTCAATTAAATTTTATTTATTGTATGATTTAGACTCATAAAAAAAGTAAATAAATATATTATTATATAATAAAATTAACTAAAGCATATATAATGCTATGTCCACATAAATTTTAGTTGATGTGGGTTCTACACACTTCCATAACTCTCAGAGAGTTCGTAGGCAGAAATTAATTAAAATGTCAAACCATAATAATGAAGATATCAATGAAGTATGATATAGTCCTTTTCTCATTCACTAACCAATTCTTGATTTGAAATTATTTGGGCCTAAAATTCTCATCTAGGATCTTGGATCTCAGCCTTATGATACCTTTGGTGTATGCTACTCGAGACCGTAATTTTGACAAGCCCGAATTTCAAGTTTTTCAATGGGCCTCAGGCCTGCAACTACTAGGCAAAATATTGTGATAGTTGCTCTTCGTACACTTTTTCCTTTTTGTTTTCCAATCGAGTAAAGGGACATTCAGTTGCTGTGCAGTTTTTTTTTTTTTAAATAAATTTAAAAATTTAAAAATATTTTTGAAACCAATAAAAAACGGTTTTTTTTATCTATAAAATATCATATTATTAAAATTACAATCTGTATTATTTCATCGTAACGATTATTAATATCACTCCGCTTTTATTGTGACGACAATCATCACAACAATACCTAACATAATTACCATTTCCATTTATTTTTTCACCATCACTACCATCATGGTTAATACAATAATCATTTTTTCATCACAATCACCTCTTTTAACATCATAACCATTATAATTCACTCCATCAAACACCACCTCTATTGTCTTAATAATTTTCAAAAATATATTTATGGTTATTTTTGTTATCTATCATATCGTTCGAACTAGTCTATTATATCATTATCATCTACAACGACTATTATTATTTACCTATAAAACAACAATAATCATAAATTACTAGCTATAATGATTATTAATATCATCTCGCTTTCATTGTGATGACAATTATCACAACAATACTTAACATAATTACTTGTTTTCATTTATTTTATCACCATCACTACCATCATGGTTAATACAACAATCATTTTTTCATCATCATCACTATTATAATTCACTCCATCAAACACCACTTCTATTGTTTTAATAGTTTTCAAAAATATATTTATGATTGTTTTTGTTATCTATCATATTGTTCGAACCAGTCTATCATATTATTATCATCTACTACAACTATTATTATTTACCTACAAAACAACAATCATCATAAATTACTAGCTATAACCTTGGTCATTATTTTTAACACCACATCAATCATTATGGTATTGTCATCACCATGATCAATATCATGCATGTTGTTGCCATGATGCTATCATTTAGCCATTATAATTAAATTATATAATATTATCACTTTTTAAATTTTTAATTAATAATATATCATTATGCTTCTTAAATTATATATATATATATATTTGTTAAAAGAAATAAAAAGCTTTCAAAAAAAAAAAAAGAAAAGAACATAAGATGTATACTCCTGGGCTTTTCGAGAAACAAAAAACTAAAATAAAATACCAAATGACCTCTAACTTTTTTCATTTTGGTATAGCAACTTTTTTAATGGTGGCAATCACGTTATTCCTTTTAAAATTTGTCAATTTTTTTTGGATGATGATGCAGTTGATTTTAACAGCTAAATATAAATTTGGAGTTTTCAAGATAATATTTATTTTTCAAACTAAAATAAATCAATTTATTTTATTAAAAAAATATTCTAGCTGTATAATAATTTATTTATTAGTTTTAGTTAATAAAAAAAATAGTTTTTTGTATCTTTTATGGGAACAAAGAAAAAATAATAATTTCAATCAAAAACTAATTCAAAGATATCCCGTGAATGTAAATTTTAAAGTACAATGAACCATGAAATAAAAAAGAAAATGATTCTTTCAAATAAATTTTATATTTTAACCAAATAAGAGGGTTTTATTTTAATTTAAAATGTTTTTTTATTACTGCATACAATAAATTTTGAGGGAAATTTCCTAAAAACAAATCCCGGAATTCGAAATTAGTTGGTCAAAATCATGAACATATTAAAAAAAATGGAAGAATAGATGGAAAAGGTTGGTGTATACAGATTTTAAAAAAATTAAAGTCCACATATTCAATTGAAAAAATTAAAAACTAAATTTAACAACAATACAATTCTGTTGCAAAATATTGGTTTAATCATAATTTTGATAGAAACTCAATGGTTGAAATGTTATTAATGTTGGCTTAATCAAATAGTTTGTGTATCATTTTATATATGTATGCTACAACAAAAAAATAAAATTATTTTTCATGTTGTTTCTTTGATTAAATCTACAGTTTGGTTAGAGTTGTTGAAACTAATTAAAGTATCTTACTAATTAAATCTTTTTTTAGGATTGATCAAGTGGAAAAGGTTCCATAAAAATATATTCAAAACAAAGAACAATAAAATGGATCCAAAATAATTGAATTCCAAAAATAAAGATGGTTAACGTGTTTTTTTTTAAAAAAAAAACCTAATAACTACAAAGAACTTTTATAAGAAAAATCTAAGAAAACTAGAATAATCATGTAGAAAGATCTTGTATGGTTAGCCTATTCTGAAAATCATTCTATTTTAGGAAGTAGATTATTAGTCTTCTAAGTATTTGGAATCAATTTCCTAAATAGTAGCTGTCATTATAATCTAGGGATTTATATGTTTTTTTTTTCTAAAGAAGCAGATTGAAAAAATATATGTACCTATAAATATGTATAATCTTACCTCAATGTACAGAATAATAAAAAATATTTTTTTTCTTGGAAACTTTCAAATTATATGCTAAAAAAACAATAAAACAAGCAGTAAATAAAGTTATAAATAAAGTTTAAGCATAGAGCTTGCGAAGAAATTTGAGAGAGAGAGAAAAAAATATTTTTTTGACAGGAAAAGAACTACAATGAAAATATAAATCTATTATAGAGAAACATTAAACTTAATGTCCAAATGAATTTGACAGCAGTATATCATGTAAACCTTTCTACCCGAATCTATCGGGAAATCCTCGTTGTCAATTTCTCTTTTCTATGTTCCTATTTGACAAGTTTGTAAACTAGATTGCGTTCCTCAATATCTCATATTGCTTGGAATACCAGATTTAGTTGATGACAACAAAAAGTCATAGCGATGTGGCCCATAAGTTATTGAAAATACATACACCTTTCGTGTTGTCCAGCATTAGCAATTTGCATATAAAAGTAAGGTTAGATGGTTGAATGAAACAATTTAGGTAAATAGCCAAAGCCCATCTATGACGTTTGGAATTTAGGGAAAAATGTTTATAGTCCACTCCATCACGGTTTCCCTTTTAATCTTTTAATCCGGAGGAAGAAAATTATGTGGCCTACTTTGTTGATTAATCAGGACAAGCAACGCGATCATAAAGAAGATTAAATTATAAAGCAATCCTTACATTTTCAAGAAACAAATTAATTAGTTTCTTATTTTTAAAAAGTAATTAATTAAATTCTTGATTAGTATTGGTTGTATTTAATTTAATATTATTTTATTTCAAAAAATATCATTTTTTCTCATTAATCTTTCCATACATTTTATTTTTTAAAATAAAAAATATAGAAAATCAATAATTAATTTTTAAAACAAAATACATTAATTTATTTATTTTTCAAAACTTGAAAGACTATTTTGTAATTTGCTATCATAAAGGGTGACATCTTACGTTGTGGACATGCTGCACCTAGATCAGGCCTGCCCACGAAGCTATCATGGATAGTTATTAATTAGTAGCAGATTTTTTAGGAAATGCGAATTCTTGAATTGGCTGATCAGATCAGCGGATCGGCCGATATATAAAAATATTAAATTACATCGTTTAAATTAAATTTCATTCAAAAAAAAATTATTGTAGGAAAAAAATTGCAATATCCAAATATAATATTTTATTTTATTGATTCAACAAAAACCAGCACTAATTGTGCACACTAATTTAATTAAAATTGACAAAACGAATTGAATATGACTCAGTTCACACACAAGACTTATATAAAGAAAAGACCACCAAACTCTTATATTTATAGAACAACAAATCCTACATTAACTAGGAAACCAGCTTTAACAAGGATCTGTAACAAGTCCTATGTCAGGTAAGAAACCTATGCCAAGTAGGAAACCAACACCTATAAAAGGTCAAATCCTCAAGATATAATGATGGAAGACTAATTTAATTCCAACACCCTTCCTTAAACCAAGCTGGCCCATCATTTTCTTAAATTTCAAAAACCAATCAGCTTTTAAATGGTTTTGCGAAAATATTAGCTACTTGATTCTCTGAAGAACAAAAATTCAACTATAATTTTTTGATCTTTTATCAAATCACAAATATAATAGTAATTGATGTCAATATGTTTGCTGCAACCATGAAACACCTCTGGCTTCTTTATTTGCACTTCCACCGCATCCTTGCCGCCGATCAAATTTATTATTCCTGCTACCTTTACCTCTGTTACTTTAACCATGATGTTTGTGTTTAATTTTGTTTAATGATTCCTCCTTGGTTTTTATGTTCAGCTAAGATTGTGATGCTTCTTCAATGGTTACCACAATTTTTTCTAATTAAAGCCCTGTTCACGGATTGCTTATGAACTTTGTAATTCATCAATCGATAGCTTACTGAAATCTTTTGATTCTTTAATTGTTGCTATTATGTACTCAAATCAAATTGCCAGGCTTCAAAGAATTTTCTCCATAACTAAGAGATTTGTTATTTTTTCCTTATTAGCTTTCATCTTATTAATCAATTTTAGTGTGCGTAAAAGATACTTGCCAACAGTCTCGTTATCTTGCATTCGAAGAAGTTCAAAATCTGTGCGTAAAATTTGCAACGTCACCTTCTTTGTCATGTCTGCACCTTTGTTAAAATTGTTTAAAACATCTCAAACTTCTTTTACCATTTCAGCATTCATGATCTTCCCAAAAATAGATAATTCAACCTTTTGAAAAATATGATGCCAGACTTCTTGATTTTTCTTTGTACAATTTGTCTTTTGTACATTTACTGATTCCTACACTTCATTCTCGATGACATATCCCAATTATCAATATTATACTCAAAGAAAGATTACATCTGAATTTTCTAACGTTCAAAATTATTTTTACCATCAAATTTGAACATTGAACAATCCACAAATTTTGTATTAAACCCCATATTTGTAATTGAATATCTAGGCTACCAGATGTAGGAAAAACAAAAATTAAAATACCCAAACACAATATTTTATTTTAGTGATTAAAAAACAACGCTAACTATGCATACACTAATTTAATTAAAATCTACGAAACCAATAGACAGTAACTCAGTCCACACACAAGACACGAGTTTTTTTTTTTTTTTGATACACATAAGAAAAGACTTAACTCCAATATTTATAGAAACTCCAATAACAAGTCCTACATTAAATGGAAAACCAATTTTAACATGAATTTATAACAAATCATATGTCAAGTAGGAAACCATCACCTACTCGGATGTCAAATCCTCAAAAAATAAGAATTGAAGACTAATGCCAGCTTGATTTAATTCAACACTTCATCTTTACAGCAAGGATCCATTCAATTTTATTTATATTATTTTGTATTTATTTAATACTATATGTCTTCACTAACATTTCTCTTTACTTGCAATTCATCTTTTTAAGATACGTAAAGTTATTTGAGTTTTAGATTAATTTTATTGGATTGCAAACCTCTTTGATCCTTTACATATAAAATAAATTTCTACTACGTTGAAATAAAAATTAAAAACATAAATTGAATTATCTTTAAATATTTGATGGTTAATAGTAGTTTATATATGGATTCAAAACGCTCATTACTTGCACGGATCGTTATTAACAATTCTACCGTTCTCATCCATTAAATAATATTTAAGTACTTTTAAAGTCTATTTTAATTTAAAATTGTCAAGTTTCAAATATTTAATTACCGAAATCTGATTATGAGTTAGTAAATGGTAAAATGAATCAAAATTCTCAATTTGAGGGGCTGTTCCTAAAGGGCCCAACAAATTCCTAATTGGAATTATAGGATCTCTTTTAGTTAATTCTTTTATTACATTATAATATTTTACACCATTGGATAGATCCATTCGAAAACAATTAGATGATGACAAACTTATCAAAGATTGACATTCCATATTTCGAAAATTAAATATTTGATGGTTAATAGTAGTTTATATATATATTTTAAGCAAATTAGAAATTTAAATACTATTTTTCATATAATGTTATTACAATGAAGCTCTATGTCTACTTATCTAGGGGCTCCTCTTTGTTAAAATATCCAGGGATGATTGGATAATTTCATGATATATTTAATTTATGTGTACGAACAATAAGTTCACTAATGGAAGGGATGGTTGTGGATTCAAGTAAAAGGTAAGCAAAAGACGGCTAAGTTTTACATTTTTTATTTATTACAAAACTAGAATATATATGCGGATAGGTTAACCATATACAAGATCAAAATCATGGTATTTTTTACCCTAATACAAATTATTTGAGGAAACACATCTCACCTCTGTCAAGTTTAAATTTAAAATCTCTTTATAATTGAGATTAATCGATCCCAGATTTACCACGTCACCAATTCGACACTGATCGAAATCGAATCCACTTGAAATAAACCCTTGATAGCTTTGCTATTGCAACCTCATTACACCCGTGAATTGATGTGCTGCAAAGCATATGGGAGCTTGCTCCTGGAACTCCTACGTACATATTTGCATTCCTTTTCTTTTGGAGATAGAAGATGACACTAATACCTTAAATAGATCTACATCTTCTTTTAAAGTTTATTTTATCGGAAATAAATTATTTTCTTATTGCCTCTCCATACCTAAATTTCTGGTTTATTATATTTTCCTTTCTGTCAAAGCCCTTAGATGCTGTTTGATAATCAGAAATAGAGTGGTAAAAATGGGAATAGAAGTTTTATTCCCACGTTATAGTTGTTTTGTTAAAAGAAATGAAATGGGAATGAGAATTAAAATTTACACACAACTTCAGTTGGACTTGCTTTTGTCCAGTTGAGGGTCGGTCTGATAGTAGACAATATCTCCTGTGTCGCTCACAAAATGATCTTCTCCCATGCTTCTTAGTAGATTGCTGAATAAGTGAGATGGAAATGGCCCAGATTTCTTAGGTTCGCGATAGTACTTTCCAAGCACTGGCTTAGCCGCCTTTGTCTGCATGCAAAGGCAAGTATATATCAAACTGTTAATAATTATAAATCATTGATAATTAACCATTCCGCACTTAATTTGCAATCTGGAAAACAAATCGGAGTCTCTGTTTTTTTTTTTTTTGAGCTATGAAGACGTGATTACCGCTTCTAGCAAGTGGTAGTGTGGAATTTGAGGAAACAGATGATGTATAACGTGTGTGCCGATATCATGGTGGATGCCATTGATCCATCCATAGTCACGATCCACTGTTGTAAGCCCTCCACGCAGATAACTCCATTCCTGTGATCAAAACAGAAGATCTTAATTTACTTCTTCTTGCTAAAATTAATAAAGGGCCCTTGTAATTAATTAGTATCAAGTCTTTAGAGAGGAAATATAGATTTAATTATAAATTAGTCCTTGTAGTTTAGCAAAAACCATTAATCAATCCTCATAGTTTTAAAAAACTATATATTTAATCTCTATATTTTTAAATCCATTTATAAACATAATCTTTTTCGTTTGCTTTAGATTTTTTTCCTTATTTATTTTGATTTTTTATTAAAGAAGAAGAAGAAAGAAGGAAGTAGATAGGATATAAAAATATGATAAGAAAAAATATTTTTTTAATCAAAATGATACTTAATAAGTATGCGTATTGATTAATCCATTACCATAACAATGATCAAAAAGTTAGGAAATATTTATATAGTAAAACTAATATACCTTGCCGCGGTACCAAGGAAGTTTCTGCTCATGCCCATGGTGGTGCAAGTATGTAACGAAGTCTAGCCACATAATAAATATCTGCAAAATGTATTAAACTTAATTGATCCTTACTGGTGACAAGCAGGAAATCCAAATTTATGGAGTTAAAAGTTACCAAGTATGGAACACCGTAGAGCTTGAGCACTTGGACCGGACCAAAAACAAATGATAAATAGATGAGCAGAAAAACCATTAGAGTCCAACACACAGTTGAAGTTAACACAGCTTTCCTTTCATTGGGGCCGAACAATTTACTGTAGGGATTGAAATGAGAACCTTCTTTTCCTGGACTTCTGCTCCACTGAGAGACAAAGGGCAGCAGAGAAAAATTAAGCATGTTCAAGAAATTCCCATATTGTTCTGAATTCTGTTCATATATCTAGATCTATGCCTAACAAAATTCTTTCTTTGTTTTCTTTTTTTTTTTTTTCCTGGTAAATATTAATCCTTAATAAAGTCAAGATGTGAGGAAGCTCTCAGTACCAAATATATGGGGTAAACTAACATGACGAGAGGCACAGTGTATCTCATAACCCGAGTACTCAAGTCTAAATTCTTGTAAATCTTCTCAGGCAGCTGAAAGTAGGATTAAAGGGAAGGTAAGGGATTAGATTTAGCTCAAAAAAGAGATTAGCAGCAGAGTTTAAAGGAAGAAGGAATATTTACCGGGACCCATGATTCATCGTTTTCAACATTGCCATGATTCTGATGGTGTTTCCTGTGGCTAATTCTCCTGTACAATATTCATGTACAACTTGAAGGTCAAGCTAAAAAATATATCAAACATATACAGAGGAAGAGGTTGAAAAAACTGAAATGACTGTGCTGGATAAACTCACCATCCGTGGTAAGGTACGAGAATTGAAGAATGCAAGATATGCCCCACCACATTGTTTAGCAAGTGATTGTTGGAAAAGCTTCCATGGCCACTGCAGAATACACAGAAATGCATTACTAATGTACTTCAAAACACAGAATGTGCATGAGTTCAATACAGAAACGTAATTACCAGTCATGTCCAAGAACAAAGATAGCCCAGAACATTGTCCCCTGGACAGCCCAGTAAAAGGGCCAAAAAATCCAACTATTTAAGTAAGCAGCAGCTGCTGCCAAGGCAAAGATGACGAGGACATCTTTTAAAACATAGCTCAGTGACCTCCCTGGATTCTTGACCCAGCAATGCTTAGGAATGGCAGCTCGGATCTCAGCAATATTGAATGGAGGAGGTGCACTTGGATCAAAATTGCCTTTACCATCGATCCCATCAACAGTACCATTACTAGCATTTTTCTTGTTCAGTGTTCCAGCACAAGATTCCTTCATTGTTGGACTCGAGTTGGAATCCCAATATCTTTTTGGGACATGGGTGAGTGTCTTGCTTGCCCAGGTAATTTTCTTCACAGCATATGCATATAGTTAGGTTTGTTTCGTATTTGGACAAACCTAAAGGATCACCTAAATTTATAGGCATTTCCAATTAAATTTTTGCATCAATTCTGTGTTTTGAGTTTTAAAAAATCTTAATTAAGTCTTTTCTCTATATCTAATCTATTCAAATTGTATTTTTCTTTGGATAAATGACCTCTTTTTATAAGAAAATTAACATTTTTTTTAAAAAAAATCTAATAAAAACTCCAATAGAAAAATCAAAATATTTGGAGATAAAATTTTTTGGGAGTTAAAATCGATACTGATTCCAAATAAATGGAGGCATTTTGTAGGGTCACTTTGTTTTTTTGTTTTTTTTGTTTTTTTTTTTTTGTTTTTTCTGGCAGCTAACGAACGAGTTGGTCCTTGCACATGTGGTTGCCAAGAAAACCAAAATTTTCTTCATTTCTAGGAAGCAATGTCGTCTGTGGATATACTCCATAGAAATGCACGTAGGAAGATGACTTGTTCCGGGAAAATTAAAAAGAAAATTGAGGGTGGAAGTGTGATGTCTATTCTGTGAAGATATAACTTGCAATTATTGAAGGAATTCAAGTAATCAGGTAGTTATCCATCGCTTGTAGAATCATACAAGTTTGGGATTTCTAATTGTAAGACGAAATAGTAGTCTGAGCCTTGAGATAATCTATACTTTTGTGGTAATGCATGCATCTACGACCTAAGTAGGGAAGTCTTTGCTTATTGAATTATACAAGTTCAAATTTCTAATAAAGAAATACTTGTAATGGTCACGTTAATTTTGAAGTGAGATAAGAACTTATATATGATACTGCATGCATGCCTCATTCTTAATATGTAAAAAAGAAAAAAAATTTTATAATACACAAGAAATAACTAATAGTATATATAAAAAGACTTGAGAATTTTTTTATGTACAAAAAATAACTAATTACATGTATTATAAAATTTATAAGTAAGAAAGAATCCTTTTATGTTGATATTTGTGCGTCACTGGCCTGATAGGACTTGAGGATCTTATTTCAATTGATAGTTATCTTGAATTGGTTATATGTATTAATTTAAGATTTATCTTAAGAAATTTTCCATGACTTTGACGCAATTATTTTTAATTTATGATTCGGTGATAATATTTTTCAAAAATAAAACATGAAGAATTGGAGAACACATACCACGTAGATGTCCACTTGCAAGGTTTTTTAACTAATGATTTTTGACGTTATAATGCTATTTTATTTATTTATTTTTGCTATCATTAATTGAAATACTAATGCATTTTCATAATAACACGAAACAAAGAAATATTAAAAAAAATTCTAGATTGAATTATACTTAACAATATTAAAAATCAATTTATATAGTATATAAAATCTGCATTTAAAACCTATCATTAACCCCAAAAGAGGATTAAATATCAATAGGTAAAGGAATTAAGTGATTAAAAAAAACCAACAAACTTAATTTTTTATTCAATAAAGAGTTGAATCTCACAATAATCAAAACTTAATTTTTTTTTAATGTACTATATAATCATCATCAATTTAGAAAAAATATTTATTTACTAAATATGATATGAAATTGAGTATTTTTTAATTCGATTGTGCATAAGTACTTATATCTGGTTCATATATGTGTACTGTGATGAAATTAAAGACGAAAAAATTTTCTGCAAGCGATTCCTTTTCCATGCCAAACAGAGGATAAAAAATCAAGCAAAACTTGAATTGATTAAAGATCTAGAATGGATGTTCAAAAAAAAAAAAAAAAGAACTAGTAGGTTATTGCACATTTCTAGCAGAAAACATTGAACTATCTTTTTTTTTTGTTTTCCCAAAGGTATCTGACATCATGACATATTTTAATTCCACAAAAAACATACCAATCCCGGTTCAAATATAGGTTCCTCGATCGTGTTATTTATTTTTTCTTTTTAAAAATCAACAACTCACATTTTAATTTTATGTGATTATTGGGTACATAATAATTATAAAGCATTTTTACTACTTTAGCAACTCCCCTTTTCCCGCAACTAGGCATTAAAGTCTCCTTAACATTCCTTTTTGTCATACAGCTCGGTGCTCATGACCATTATTGCGCAGCAACAATTAATCTTGAAGAACGCCTAGGGATGTTAATATTTTTTTATTAAATTATATATCGTTTATACATGAATAAGTCTTGCTAAATTGATTACTGGAATATGGTTCTCGTATTAAAACAATACAAACTTTTTAAATTAATTATTATATGTAGTTCACTCACAGACCACATATATGTGTGTGTGTCTCTCTAATAGGTTATCTAGCAGAAGATTTTTTCAAAAAAAAAAAATATATATATATATATATATCTCTACCATTATTCATAAATTTTTGTTTGAATTGCATTTTTTAACTTTCAAAACTTTGGGTTTTTGGATGCAGGCAATGAAAATCAAGCCTTCTCTCTCTCAAGCAATGAATGCCATATAAAACACGTTTTGAGAAAAATATTGCACGGCCTCGACTCAACTAGGCTGACACTTGGGCCACCGATGTCTTTTATGCAGGTAGCAAAGGACTACTAGGTTATCAAATTACAGATTTACAAGGGGTTAAAGTTAATTTTTCTTCCCTAAAGTAAAATCAACATACTCAAGTGCAAATTGATGCATTTGAAAATCTGAACAAAGAGCATGCTTGTTGCCCAACAACTTAAAAGATGTTTTCGGCAGGGAAGGCATAAGGAATCACTTTAATGAATCTGCAAGTGAGAAAGCATGACATCAATACCTTATGTCGTCTAGGAGTTGCTGCTTATTCCGTCAGCCTCAGGATTATGTCGTTTTTGCCTTTCTCTGACAAATCTTGCTCCTCAAAAAATGGGTGCGTTTACATCAACTAAAAGTTGGCCGGTGCAGGGAGTGTATGTATAAAGATGCTTTGTTGCTAAATCAACTCCAAATCTTTGCTGCCGAAATATAATGCCAATCACAACTACTAATCAATATTTTGTTTAATCAATCAAATGAAATTAAGAACAAACCTAGCTAGAAACGAAGAGCAAAAACAAATGTCAGGATTTCTTGGTGGGAACTGGGGGCACCGAGGTGGGGTTTATAATTAAATAAAGCTTGCAAATTTAAGTGTCTCAAGTCCCATAGTTAATCTATGCTGATTGTATTAAGAAAGATATGACTTTAATTCTCGATCCTTCGCTTAATTTCTTTCGCATAGGAAACGTAATATAAGGCGTGAGTGCATATAAAATCATGAAAAAACTACCTCTGTGGGGAACTTGTTGCATGCATTTGTGATGCTTAACCGACTTCGCGTATTTAGTGTACTAAGTTAATTTTTTATATCTTGTAATCTTATACTCAATTTTTATAGTTATTTGGTCTAACCCTTTAAGAGTATGTTTTATATTCATATTTCTTACTGCATGTAAGGATGCTTTTATGTATCGAAAATGTTTGACGACATCATGATAACGGATTTCATTTTAAAAAATAGAAAATTTTTAGAAACAAATTTAAAAAGTGAAAAAGTTAAATGACATAATACCCATATTGAAAATTACTCTTCTTTTTTTCCTCCTTTGTATCCTTTCAAAAAAATACTACCTTATAAAATTATGATTTTTTTTTTTTAACATCAAAAAAATTGAAAGTTTAAGCAAAGAAACACAAATAACGTAACGGAACTTCTTTATCCTTACTTGAACAATCAAATAAGAGTTACAAACAAATACCCAAGATAAAATAAATAATTAATAATCTAAAAAACGAACAACAATCACACAAAGAACATATAAATTTTATATGAAAAACTTTCTCAATTTGAGAAGAAAAACCACGAGACCGAAGTCTACAAAACCTTTGATTTGTCAACAATAATGGGCAATACAAAGAGTCTTTTTTAGATTAAATTAGAGGAACACATTAGTTGCAAGCATTAAAGGTTGTACAAACTTTTTGCAAGCTTCATCAATAGATGACATAAAAAGAAAAGAGAAGAAACCAAATTTAGTTTTTATAAAAAAATAGTATTATTGTGAGTATTATATCTCATTCTCAATGACTTAAAACTAGATCTCTATCGTTCGGAATATGTGATCTGTCTCTCCTAACCACACCTATCAAATTTGAGCTTGATCTAACAATTAACGAATCCGAAAACAAATTTTTATCATGATTAGTTTATGCTGAAACTTTTTTTTTCCTCTAAAGTTGCAGGTCTCTCTTATTTTCTTTTCCTTTTTCTTCTCACTTTCTTCCTTAATTTTGTCTCAGGATTAAAGATAAGAGAGAATTTTTTAAAAACACTCAAATTACTGTTTATTCTCTAACTAGAAGGATAAGCCTACAATATGGAATTGGGACCTTCACTTTCTCTTTTGGGAAAATAGGTAGGTTCAAAGTTGATTGCTTTACTGCCAAGTCAGACATAGTTGCATATATCAAATTCCAATTGACGAGTGATAGAAAGCAAAAAGAGAGGTGGATCCAGCCCATCAAGGGAAAGGAAACCCCATAATTAGGGATGACTAAGGACAAATTTTAAAATACTTCAAGATTGATTTTAAACTTTCTCATGACAAAATGTCTGATTCGAACGGAACGGAACGGAGCGGACTTTTTGCAGGCTGGGTCAGAATGGCTATCTAAAAGGAATTGAAGACCTACTGCTCGACACCAAATACAAGTTTAACAATCCTGTGATGTACGTACATCACTGAGAATGGTAATGCTTGAACACTATAGAATTAATTCCTAATATTTTGCAGAAGAAGCAAAGTTTTTTTGACGCTAACGAGCTATCACTATAATATTCTCTGCAGAAGCCAGTGAGCTTGATCATGCATCTATGTCACTTGAGGATAACATGGGAGCAGATTACTACAGTAGCAATCTTTCATGTAAGGAAAAAAAAATAGTTCCTATATTTTGAAACCTACGAGTAATTTAATCCCTTTTGCTCTTTTTTAATTTATTTTGTTATAAGAAATAGAAATAAAATATAAAAAATCAATGAGAAAATAAGAGATTTTATAATATAAAAATAATATTAAATTAGGTATGTTCAATACCGATTAAAAAATTAAATAATATGTTTAAAAATAAAGGAATTAATTAATTTTTTTCTTAAAACTATAGGGACTACTTTATAATTTACTCGCTAAAGGGTATGTAGTCATAATTTGTATAAAGGAGACGAATGACCCGAGAAAAGAAAGCAAGCTTGCAGAATCACTTTCGTTTTTGGGCAACTATTTTTTCAGAATGCTTTACTTTAACTAGTATATTTATTTCTTTCAACAAAAAAAATTAACCCAAAAATTTAAATTATTCTAATAAACAAAATCTCAATATATAATTTATATTTATATTTTTAACTGAAAGTCATTTAGATTTAAAATTTACATAAACTCGTATTATCTTTTATTATTATATTTTTAATTAAAAGAGAGTTTCGGTATGAAATCCTTTAAGACTTAAAATTTATATGTATTCAACTAAAAAATTAGAGTTGATAAGATTTGAACCTATAATTATTTGATAATCAAAACTTTAATATCATGTTAAAAAATCATTTTAATTTAAAAATTTAAAGTATTAAACAAGGCTTCAATGCCAATAATGATGGATTATTCGCATGGAATAGGATTAATGTAGAGCTTTCCTGTAAAGAAAATGGTTTCAATTAAAAAAAAAATAATACATTAGTCTGGATTAAAATTTTTAAAAGTTTAAAATTTCAGTTTTATATTAACTCTTTAACACCTTATAAAATTTTTTTTGAAATTTGTATAAATTTATTCTTATTTTCTTCTAAAATTTTTAATTTAATCAGAATAGTAAAGATAGTCGAGTTCAAACTTACCAAATATTAGACAATGAAAACTAATACCAGATCAAATAAACAGAAATGGTTTTCATTACATCAAACAAGTAGATTGTAGACGGAATCTCCAGTATTGGCTCGTCTTGAGGAAAAAGTATTGCTCGTCGGAAAACCTGCTTGCACACAGATATCAATGAAAGAAGATATTTTTGTCACTGATTACATGGTCCACAGTCAGCTAGTCCCCCTAGTCTGGATATGGCACTACTTTTTGAAAGCTGAGGTGCGACTCTGTTCATTCACGGGCGTTTCTATGCTGGTCAGACTTCTGTCTATTCATGTTGTCGAATATTTCCACAACACACAGAGCTTGTGTGCAAAGTATGATTTTAAACGAAATTTTATCATACTTCATCGTCCAGTAATTAATAACATTTATTTTATATAAAAAAATATAAAGAGAATTTTTTTAAAAAATAAACTTAAATAAAAATATTTTTATCATTTTTTAATAGATTTTGATTTTTTTTATTTCAATGTCTTTCAGAAAAGTAAACTAATGAAATAAATATTATTAATTATTATTTTAAAATTCTCTGATTTTACCATTGGAATATGCAAAATAGGTGATTCCCTTAGTGGAAAATGTTCATGGAACACTATATGATGGGCTTTTTCTACTTCAAGGGAATGGGGAATATGATGGCTTTATTTTATTTTTTATTAAGACTTTGCATTATTTTTTAATTTATTGAAATATTTGACTCTTCATTTAGTTTTTCTTGAAATCCTCCGATATCATAACATCATTTATTTTTAATTCTATGTGTCATGTTATTATTAACTAAAAAACTAAAGAAAAATCATCGATTCATTGTTGTAACACCCTCGCCATAATCATATTTCTACTACCTAAGTAGAGTATTGGACGAAGCGCATTACGGCGACATACTCTAAACTCTAAGTAGTTTTCTTATGATATTCTTAGGACTTTAACGAGTACATTACGTATATAACTCCTTAAGATAAAATTTACATAACATAATTAAATACATTAATAAGACATTACGGGCGATATTTAATTTCTCACGAACGTCCATACCCTAAATTTACGAGACAAAATAAAAACTAATATATGGTGCCTCATATGAGCCGGTTAGGAGGAGCCGGCCGCATCCGTACCAACTTGTCCTTTTTACGTCAAGACATAAAAAAAAATAACAACGGGGTGAGCCGAAGCTCGGTAAGCGGGGTGATGCACATGATATGCAATGTTGTTTTGACTTCCCACCATACTCATCAATTTTAATCTCGGGTACCCTAGGTATTAGTCGGTTTACTCTATTTATCATCCGGGTGGTCCGCGAGATCACCTTCTGCTACAACGGAATTATCCCTCGTTGTAACTACCGTTAGCGAGAATCCATCGTCTAACGGTGCAAGCACACAGACTTGATTTCATCCGGATGATCCTCGGATCATCTTCTGCTACAACGAAATTATCCCTCGTTGTAACTACTATTAGCGAAATCCATCGTCTAATAGTGCGGGCACACATCTTAGAATACTTGGACTACTAATACCCATTTATTCCAGTTAAGTTATCAAACCTACATGTATAAACCATTTCGCAATCAATTGACTTGTCTTAAACCACCCACTATGCACATGATGCACATGATGACATATTTAATCACATTCAACCAAATTCGGGTACCAACCCTTCATTCTCATGCCATACTCATGGTCCAACCCACACTCGGAATTTATCCATTGCTCACATACCAATCATGATACCCACGGCGAGAACACAATCTCTCGCTCATTAATATTGTTCATTAGTTTCATTAATATTTAAAAGAAGGTCCAAGTCCATTTACTTTAATCCGAGCCCATTAACTTTATCCTATGTCCATCGACTCTATTTAATTCCATTTTATTTAGTCCAAGCTCATTTAGTTTATTCCAAACCTATTAATTTTGTCAAAATCTAATTTTTTTAGTTTTAGGGTTTATTACTTGGGCAACTCCTAATCGAGTAAATAATTTTCTAATTTCAGAACATAATTAAATCTTACTCATTTTATGTTAGATACTAGACATATTTATTTATAACATATCCAAAAATTAGGTCTAAATACCAAGTACACAATTGATTACAAATTTTTGAAACTTAGGGAACAATCTGCCTAATAGTAGTTTATCTAGAGCTATCCATACTAAATCGGGTGTAACTCTTTGTACACGAATCCAATGACCAAGAAATTTTAAAGGAAGTTA